AAAAATCACCCAAAACATGCCTTGCACAGTTGCAGCTACTGATGTTTATCCATGCTGGCTTTAAAGGCCTTAACATTGGGGTAAAGGTCAAGGTTGTTCCCAGTTCAATAATGACTAAGCAACTGCAGAGAGAATGTGGAAAATATGCCTTCGCTGCTTTAGTTCTACATGTGAAGCACAGGATGTTGGCTGCATGACATTTTTTCCTTTTTTGCCAGGCACCACACTTAGTTGGCCAGATTTGGGCTTTCTGGGAATGTTAAACCCCAGAATCTTTGTAATCTGAAGCTCAACAACAGTTTCATAGTGGCAGGAAAAATGTCTATAAATGTAGGAAAAAAACTAAACACTTTTGTGAATGGAAAGGTGTGTATTTTGTTTTGTTTTTTTTAACTACACTATAGTGCTGATGTACTGATCTCATGTAGCAGTAGGTGTAGGCATGCAGTCGAGGAAGGTGGAGTGAGAAAAACAAAAATCATGTCAGAATCCATGTTGACCCGTGGGGCCCTCTCTTGGGGCCCTTTCTGCCTCAGCGCCTTCAGAAGATTTAGGATGACATGCACCCAGTGCTCTCTTGTAGGCCTTTAAATATGTTAATATATAACATTCTTCTTACATTACATTCTTTATAATGTTCTCTCCCTCTCATCCAAGAGGCTTCTTCAGAGAACTACTGAAGAAGCCTCTTCTTTTTTTGCCTTACTTGTGCAAAAAACAAAACAATACACACCTCTATTGACCACACAGTTGTCTCTTAGTCAAACTTCAACATGATGCTACTGGGTGTTTTACCCATGCATAGAAACATAAAATTGAAAAATCAAGTTACTTTCTCATTTAAAAAATGTATTATTTTTCCCCTCTCTAAAAATACTCCTATCAATTTCAGGGACCAAAATAGGAGTTCATTTTTAAAAAAAATTGAAGTATTTTAATTCTATAAGGGAAGATTATTTCATCAATAGTGACCCCTATTTGCAGACCTAGAAATCAATGTAGAACAATCAGATCCTACATCATCATATAAACCCTACTATTTTCAGAGCTATATCCCTGTCTATGTGCTAGGATGATTCCTGCACCTCCCTTTTTGAGTTTTTGTCTTCCTTTTTCAGAAACAACTCACCACCTACTGGTGACAACTGGTCACTACTATGACTCATTGTTCCTCTCCATTTGCAGGATATAATGCAGGACAACTAAAACCACACACATTGGTACGATACACACTCACATTCTTCCTAAACTATTCGCCCAATTATGCGTGTTTGTGAGCGAGGGACCTAGCCTTTTTCCTCCTGGCCTGGTCTGTTGCAAATGTGTCACAAACACCTCATGATCAGTTAGTATTTGTGTCACAAAGCACACTTGTCTCTGGTTAACAGAGTGAAAGACACTCCCTCTTGATGAATGTCCCTCTCTCGCTCCGACTCTCTGTCATAGCCTAATTGGTTGAGGGTCCACTACTGGTACTACAACATTCCAGGCCTCTGTGCAGTTGTCGGCCGTTTCTTATGACTCTCACCATGGAAACATAGTCTCTGTCTTCAGTAGCTGAGAAAATATGTCCGCTGTTTATGTTTATGTTTATGTTTATGCCGCTTTAGGGTCTTTTGCAAAAAAAATGTTGGAGTGTTTCAGAATAAACGCAGCATGAGTGTGTGTGTGAAGTGTATGTAGAGTACTGTATAATTATTTCCATGAGCTGAGTCAGCAGAGCAGACGAACAGCCTGGTCTCCTGTACTGGAATAACATAACAGGAAAGTGATGCATTACTGGAAAGCTCCATCTTCATGGCCCTCTAGAGACTCATGCAGCCATGTAACAGCAACTTTATATTTCCTTTACATTGCTAATATATATATATATATATATATATATATATATAATATAATGTCGAGGGGTGGAGTTGTGTCAGGACAAATATCTCAACAATACATGTTGCTTGGACAGTGGCAGAATATTGAAAAACCTCTGTCTTTTCTTAATGGTCTGTGAAATAACATCCAAAACAAGACTGCAGATTATAACAAGGTCCCCAGATTGACTAATTAAATTACATTTAAATATTAATATTACCATAATTTACCTTATTAACATCACATTTTTTAATAAAGTTAATAAATTAACTTTATTAACTTTTTAGACACAGACTCACAAAAAAGTATTGCTATTTTCTGTGAGATTGATTTACATGAAGACCTAAATGTAATACTGATTGTCAAACTGATCTGTTGACTCTGACTCTGACTCTGAGCAGAGAATATAAGTCCAATACTGAACATACACTAGACAAAGTACTATTACTGTACACTTGGATATTGCCGCCATTTTCTCTTTTGCTTTTTGTTCCATAAAAATAGTTGTACCTCTGTTCCGCAAAAGCACATCTGTGAATGAAAATATCTGACTGCAAATGTGTTTCCACTTTTTCACCTAGTGGTTTCACACTCAGTGTGTGAAGCAAATTCAAAAACGGCCTCATTGTCAACAACCCACAGCGTGTACTGGCGCTAGGACTAGGACTTTGAGAATCGAACACATGCAGACTAACACAGAACAGATGGCCTCACCCTCAGACACGTCTCAAGCCAAACCACTACAGTCTTGTTGCAGAGCCCAGCAGCAAAAAAATATATGGCCTGTGACGACCTTGAACCCTGCTGGATTACGTCACTTGCTGGGAACACCGAGGCCTCGTTCTGCCCCCTTTGTTTATATCCCCTATCACCCAATGGAGGCTGGGAACCTTGGAAAATCAAAACATTCAACCACAGGGGAACTTAAATGGCTAAAAATTTGAAAACACAGAAATATGACTTATGTGGATACTTTGTTCTAAGAATGATGGAAAAATTGTGCTCAACAATAACAACATGACTTTTTTAAAGAAATGGCTAAAAAAAAGTCCCAGAAGAGGTGACAAAGTAACATTTACACAACAAAATATTAACATCAAAATTCAACAAAACCACATGCTATACTATGAATTTTGGGAGAAAGAAATAAAAAAAAATAAAAAAATTCTACAAAGTAATGTTTAAACCATAAAATATTTTTGTTAAACATTTGAACAAAACAACAGACTATTATATTATTTTTTAAAAAGTGATGTTTAAAATGCAATCTACACTCTCACATATTCACCCAGGAACACAGTTTGTTCCAAAAATGCCTAAATACATCATTTCCTGAGATATAAGAAATGCCTTGACTCTGTCTGGATCTGTGGTTCCCGCTCACACCACACTGTGGCTGTGGATGAATACTTTCTTTCTTTAATTCTCTCTGGCTTTTTTGGAAGAGTCACACTCTTTAAATGGCTGCTGTCATGGCTGTTTGGCTGAATTCTGCGGCTCATTATAACAATTATCTTCAACACAAATGGAACAGTGAATGTGCAGGCTGCAGTATTAGCCATATATGTGTTTGCTGCCTGGCATCGGCAGTAGGAAATTAAACCTAATAAATCCAAATTGATGTACTTTCAAGTATTAATTCAATTTTTTTTCTTTATTATTTTAAAATGTCCTTCTCAGTTAAATTAACCCAATTTTATGGTATCATATTTTAGTTTATTTTTTAATTACTTATTTAGCTTTTCATTTGCTATTTTAGCTTTATTTTGTGTTAGAAGATTTTTAAATACTTTTCATTGCACTATTATATCATCTTTAAAACAATTACAATTTTACACTATGTGCATTCTCTCCAATAAAGAAAGAAAGAAAGAAAAAAAGCAACAAACTGTGAGGATATTGAATAAAGCACAGGTTCGAGCGGTTAAACAATCATTGCATTAAATGCATTAAAAATGGTTTTCTCTGGTCTGCTGAAAAACTTGTGGTTTTTCGTGGCTTCTGGTTGTAAAGTTAAATCTCTGCTGACACGGGCGTCGGCACAAACCGCAAATGCTCAGGCCTGCTAAATTACCAGAGAAATACTTTAGCAGACGAAACCACTGTCTCCTGGACAATGTTAGAATCTGGGGCTGACAGTGACACATACAGTGGTACAGTCCCACCAAAATGACCAAAATTTTCAGAACACAAATGTTTTCTGTTAATATCCGTCTGTAACTTGTTGTGGTTTGACTCTGGGGGCGCTGTTGAGCTATTTTGCTAAGCTCTATTCTTTGAAAACATGAACTATTTTGCATGTTGCATCATTACAGTATTTAAGTAGACAAACATTGGTAAATATTTTACCAAACATGCACTGGCTAAATGTGCACATTCAACAGGCTGCGGGACGACGTTAGCTGATTTGACAAGCCTTCCTCTTTAAATAGTGCTAATGCTAATCCCTCTTGACTCGTAGCCTCAAAAGTGCTTGTTTGTCAGAAGCTTTGACCCGATGATCACGTGATTTTAGAATGTGGCAAACAGTTATGCAGTGTTGACGGTAAAAGGAAAAAAAAAGAAAATTGTTGTTTTTTTTAATTAACAAAAATGTCTCCCCAGCCCATAAACACCAGTACAATAGTTAGCCCGTCTATGGAGTGGCCTAGTTCACGCTAAAACAGTACAAAACAGTCATAGGTATAAACACAGTAATATTCTAAACCTTTGAGTTTAGTATGAATTTATTCATTGACTCACCATCTACCAATTTTGTTTTTCAGGATTGTGTGGGGCTGAAGCCAATCCCAGCAGTCCTATGGTGAGGTTGGGGTACACTTGGACAGTTTGCCACGCCATCAGAGAAGCTATATACCTAGAGAAAGAAAAAAAAAATACAGAAAGAATTTGTTACCACAGGGAACAAACCAGTGACATTTTGCTGTAAGGTGATAGCACTTACCAACTCTTTCACAGGTGACTGAAGTTTTTCATGTCTTCTTGTATACATTTTCACGAGCTCTGTGTATGTGCAACATCTTCTCTGTCTCCCGTCGTCTACGGAGCAGACCAGCAGTCGTGTCGTTCCAGGAAACGGCTACTAAGTGTTCAGACTGCTAATGTACCCCCATTGATAAACATTTTGTTAGTGCTGGACCAAGTATTGATTGGAGATCTACATCCAGTTCGACTAAAGCACTCAGAACAGATAATAAACCAGCGAAGGTGAAAGTGGAAGGTCGAGTCCAGTTTATAGTTCTCTTTCTCCCAAGGGAAATCGTCTAATGCTACAGGGATTTTTCCCAAAAATAATGAAGATGTTTGAGCACAGTGACCACCTCCTTATCTAATATGAAGAATAAAAGCATAGGATGAGAATGCTGTACCATTTAAAATACTTTTAATCATTGAGTAGGCTTGTATAATTGACGTAGTGTACAATATAACTCTTCACATCAATGAATATAATCATCTGTTGAACATTTCAGCTGTACAACTGTACAGATAACACATTTCTCTGAGCACACTGCGTAACAGAATAACAAGAGATTAAAAATATATATAGTACAGTAATAATAAAGCACACCAAAAAATAACTCTTCTTCTACTCACTGAAGCAGAATATTGATTGGACCGATCCAGTGCACTGCAGTCTTTTCTGTTCCAATCCTTTCAGCTTCCTGCTGCCTGGGTTACATTTTTGGCATCAGGTCGGAGCCTGTGTAGTACACTGTGTAGGGTTTGTTCTAGTTCTAAGCTGTTTGGGATGTGAAGCAAACCCAAAAGGAAATCAAGAAAATGTTTTACTGTGTGGGAAACCTGCTTTTTCAGAGTGGGCGGGATGCCAGGTTACAACAATAAAGGAGCAATTCTGCTACTCTTGCTATATCTTATAAATAAGTCCACCATATTGGACACAAATCTGGTTCCACTGAAGCAGAAGCCCAGTTCAGAGTCCAGTTAGGATGCAAGTTTGAGCTGTAGTTGGTTAAAGGTCCAGATAAAACTACGCCCTGTAGGCAGAAATAAAGTGTCCTTACAAGAATACTTGTGTTTCTGTGTGTGTGTTTGTTCACGTGAGAGAAAAGAAGAAAACAGCAGGACATCAGTGTGTGCTACACTGTTCACTTCACTTCTCTGCCTCCATCTTAACAGGATTATAATCTCCACTGTCATCTATGTTAATTGTGACATTTAAACTGAAAAATCACAGTGCCATTTCAAATGATGAATTTTTTTTTCTGATCTTACTTAGAAAAAAAACTAAGACGTGCACAACCTAACAGTGTAGTTAAAAGGTACACTGAGTGAGATTTAGATTCATGTGAAGTTCCTGTACTGTGTTTGCTCGTCCATCACCTCACTAAGGTTTTTCCACTGCTACTCCTGTTGTAACCAACGTTAGACTATTGAAACTCACATTCACACATTTACACCACTGAGATCCTTTATCATCATCTCATACAGGGCGCCTTTACTCCACTCTAGTCCAGATCGTCAGCCAAAGTCTCTCTCATTTGAAAACATAAGGGAGATGCATCATAATAGTTTCCATTAAGAGCTCAGAACTCACTACTGTGATCACCACCTTGGATCAACCAGCACTGCTGAATCACAAAACGGCACTAAAACTGTTTTATGTGGTCACTGAAGCTGAAACCTGGTGAGTCCGATCGCCATGACAACCATGACGATGTCCACTCGTCTCTGTAATCGCAACGTGTCTCCTGTGCCCAGAATAGCGGCGGGGCGCCTGGCACCTGACGCCTGGACACACACTCACCAAAACCATAAATCCTGGACTTCACAAAAGGAGGAAACACACATTTATGAAAACCAGTCTCACCGACTGCCTCCCTGTCGAGTGTCTCTTCCTCTCCTTCGCCAATACTTTCAGTCTTTGTTTAACATCCCTGACCTTAACGATGCATCGAAGGTTAGCAGCTAACCCCGTCCATAGACCAAAAAATAAGAAATGTTTGTAGCCATCTAATAATAGCAAGTCCTCTGAGACAAATATGTTTTCTGACTTTGGGTAATACAAATAAAATTGACTTTTCTCTGGGCTGTGGAAGCAAGGAGAAAGTTGCTCAAAAAGGAAAATACAAAACCTAGTCCAGGTCAGTTTACACCAAAAATTCTTGGCATGGAAATGTCACATCCACTGAGAAACTTAGCAGATGTTAAAAAACAACCTGCATTTTCCCAGACATCACTTTAAATGGATTTGCTTGAGAAACTTCCTGTGCTTCACTCTTGGACTTCTTCCTCATTTTGTCGTGTGCGCTTTAAGAATTTGCATTAAACAGGAGGTAAAAAAAAAAAAAAGAAAAAAGTGGATGATACAGTTTTCAGACTGGTTCCACCCAGTGTTAACCCCTAAGGAAGTAGAGTGAAGTTTCAGGACATACTCAAATGTGATCTAATGTGTTTTACAGGTTTATTCTTCGCTTTATAGTTTTTTTTTTTTCCTATATGGCTCAGCTACTTTGGACAGAAAACCACAAACTAGCAGAGCGGTCTCTTTGGCATTCAGCACAGCAGTACAACAGACGTATGTTGAAGAAGGAATGAGACGTCAAATGACCTCATGTCTATACTGTGGCCGTACTGCATAATAAACCATGTCTGAAATACTCATCCAAAGGATGGTGGATGGTCTGTACGTACAGTACATGGAATATGAAAAGAATTGGTTCAACTTGTCCAAGAGGTTCAAGGAATCTTAGCTTACTTTTCCTTGACTGCCTCCAAGGCTGGCCCGTTGCTGTGGTGCTGGTTTTATGGAGCTGTCCCGAGTGAGGGTATTGTGTGCATATAATATGTGTGTGTGTGTATGTGCGTGTGTCTTGGCACAAACTGAACATTTCCATCCAGCCAGCATGATGCTGGAAAGTCACTGAGGATAAAGGAGAAGCAGGAGGCGAGAGGAAGCACTTTAGCAGCTAAAGCAATTGTGGATGCTGAGTTTAATGTCTTTATCTATAACTGCCCTGACAGAACTAATGGAAAATTTAATTTAACACAAGACTGCAGTGTGGCTAGACTGACAACAGCTGAATCTGTGTTTGAAAAAACTAAACCAAATTTCCAAAAAGAGCCCAGATCTTTTAGATCCTCTGCTTAACCTGGAGGAATAAAAGAAAACATACCGTTGCTCAAATAGTGTCACGTTGTCAATTCCGTTGAGCTTCTTCAACGTATAGCAAGCAAAATGAAAGAGTTTTTCACTTAGTGTGCTATTATTAACTGCTTGGCCAAGAAGAGAAGTTCAACCTTATAATAACTGGTGAAAGAAGGATGATGTCAAACACATTTTTAAGCCCAAAAAGGCTGCAAATACTGGCTGCAGTGTGTCCATACAAAGTATTAAAATCCATCAATTGCTCTGGCATCAGTTTCAAAGCCCTCGGCCTGCTCCACTGGAGCCACAGCATAGTTTTTAAATAACTCCATGCTTTAAAATCAAAGAGGAGTGCAGACGTGCAAAATGATACCACAGCAGGAAAATTCACTCTGGATCTCAGCTGTCCAGACAGGCATAGACAATAACACATGGGGTAAGCCAAGACTACTACAGTCACACCAATTACACAATTTGACCATAAAGAGTTGCATTACCTTTACAACATTAGCAGAATGACTGCAGACTCCTAGATGACGTAGGGCCACTGCCATAAATGACGTGAAAATGCTTGAGTGCCACTGGGAGTCATCGACTCGGTTCTAATCCTGATAGGACAGCTGTGCTGAGGCAGTCGGCATCTGTCTCACACACGCGCGCACACACACACACATACACAGAAACAAACAAATCGTCATTCCAGTCTCCTCGTCTTTTGAATTCCTGAAGAATAAAACCTTTTTTATCCACTGAGAAGACACTGCAAACGCTTGAGCAGACTTTGGCTCAACGTCTTTGGACGTGTCGAGTCTTCTGCAAATTTCTCACAATTCAGGCAATAAAGCTATTAGCACGGGGCATGCACGGTCCACCCGCTTAGCATAGCACATTTAACACTTTACACGTACAACCACAAATCCTGATCTAGCTGAAAAATAAAATCTGTCAAAATATGATTATCATAACGACAGTGCAGTCATTTCAGAAAAGAAAATACTGTACAGAAAACCTATGCATCATCACTGATTAGGCACAACATCTTCTTAGAGAAGTAAATAATTATAACTGGAAAAAAAATTAAATAATAATAATTTTCAAGCCACAACTAGAACCAGGAGCACAGTACGAGGCTGTGATTTTAGGTACAACACTGCCGGACTGGTTATTTACCATAAACATTAGCTGAAACAACACAAATGCTAACAGTGAGTACAATCATTCTCTAGGAGGGAAACATTTACTTACATATTTTGTTTACAGTCATTTATCATCTACCAGATATCAAACAATATCACAGTATGCCGTCTGTGGCGTGGTATTTACTCCTATGGGTATTTTTTGCTCACCATCGCAGTAGCTAATGAATATTTAAGAAATGGTCAGTACTTCATGGCTAAAAAAAAAAAAAAACCAAATGTTCCAAAACTGAAAAGATAATTTAAAAAAAACATTAAAAAAAAACCCCCAAATGTTCCAAAACTGAAAAGATAATTATCTTTACTGTTGAAGGAAAATTTTAACTTGACCAATTTACCACTATCACTTAAAAACAATGAAGAACAATTAAAAACAATGGGCAAAGGAGAAACGCCATCACTGCTAAGCTAGCAGCAAGGCTAACATAGCCACCGTGGCTAACAGATGACAAAATAGCGTGGCGCTCTACAAGTGTGGACGTTGCAATACTGTGATATTGACAATAACATCACATCCCTCTCATGCTAAGAGTTTAGGGGAACGCATTAACGATTTATAGTCATTTTTGTAACTTATACAAGCTGATATCATTTGCAGCCCTCAGAAATGTTGAGTAGGGGTCAATAGAGGGGGATCAGTCAGTAATGCTTCTAAACTTAGAAGTTGGGACTACCCAAGATCAAAGGACACAAAAAACTAAGAAGCGAATTAGAGAACAAAAATCCCCCATAATACACAAATCCACTGTTGAGACCACACTTTTTTTCATCCGTTTTTCATTAGACTCTACTACATTACAATCTTTCAATATTTTCCACTTTAATGGTCCTGCATTTCCTGTGCTTGATTAATAAAATAAAATAAAATAAAATCTGGGAATGCCAAGAAAGGTCCTGAGAACTATTTCAAATGTTTCCTAGGTTTGTGTGACTTAGTCTTTGTGTACGTTTTAGCATTAAAATCCTGCATGTGCATCCATCTCAATACTGACATCATTGTGTTATAGAAAGTTAGTGCAGTCACATTAAGGAAAAAGAAAGAACAAAACATGTTCTTTCTCTTTCACGATCAGTCTCTTTCACTAAATAATCTTCATTCAGTGTTCAAAGGGACCAGGCAACAGATATTTATGGTTCTATGTTACAGAAATGTAACATCTTCCTGGGACTGCACCCATCGCCAGTGAGCATCGTACTCTAGGTGTGTTTTGCCGTTAATTTTGCAAGTGTCCATCTCAATTTTTCCATTTTTGTATGGTTTAACTTTGGGACTCTGGCTGCTTCCCAGTTTCTTGGAGAGGTTGACCTTGGCTGGGCTTCCTGTTTGTGCCGCGGGCTTCTCCAGGACATTGTTAGCTTTTACAGATTGTGTCTGAATCGTGTCTGCAGTCTTGGTCCAAACAGGAGCATCATGTTTAGAGCCCTCGGTCTTGTTGACAGAAACAACTGTTTTTCTATTCACAGCCTCAGTGACCCCGGTGACAGCACCAGTTACCGCTGATCCAGGTCTTCCTTTTACCTCAGTTCCACTTCCAACCTTAATTTTATGGTCATTTCCAACAGCTCTAAGCCGAGCTGCAGTATCCGACCTCACACCAGCCCCAGCAGCTGCGACGGGGGCTCCTGCTGTTAAAGCCCCAGCAACAGCCTCAGAAACCGGTGGCACTCCAGAACAGATGACTGACTCTGAGCTGGAAGCGCAGTATTCGTCCATGTCATCAGCCAGCGTGTCCAGGTAACTGCCAATGGAAATGTTGTCCAGCTTATCATTGGGGTCGTGCAGGCTGCTCCAGGAACCTCTCCAGGAGGTGTCTGGGCCTTCGCCGAGGCTGTACTGGCTGCTAGTGAGGCTACTGCATCGGCTGGTCAGCGTGCTGCGCTCCTCCAGCAGCCACTTCACCGCCTCGATACCTTCATGCACGGCCAGCAGCTGCTGCAGGATCTTTACATCCACAGAGCGCAAGTGAGCCTGAGGAAAAATGGAAAAAAAAAAAATTAATATAAAAACGGAATAAAGTTAATCTTGAAAAAATGGAAAAAGTAATTTTATGGGTAATAAATCCATAGAGAATATATGACATTAAAAACAACAGTAACAGAAAATCCATTTCAGATGATATTGCCTCAGAAGCCTAGCTGGAGAATTCACACTCAGACTTGAAACAATAAATGAAATATTTCCTCTTGCCTTAATAACAACATCTTTGGGGCCCCGTGAGATCCTCAGAAGGACCAGATAGGGGCCCTGCCCCTGTCTTTGACATTGTTTTGTTACATAATGTATGACAACCAGAGACAAACTAAAGCCATAACTATGAGTAGATATTTATTCTCGGCAGAGACATTTGGCTCCTGAGTCAAGTGCAAACACTGTTAAAATGCTAATAAACGCCAGCACATCACCATAATTGGAAGTCACAAAACTGGAGCTGACGGACGGAGTACGAAGAATGCTGCGCACATTGTCTTAACAACTGAAGTAACAACAGAAAACTGGGCAGGAGAGAGAGTTGACAAAGAGGTGTACGGTGTGATGAATCTGTTGGTCTGGTCCACAAATGCACAAAGACCGGTCACAAATAATAACATGTCGTCCGTATTGATATGTGTGGACATTACAAACGGCCAGTATGAAGTAAAATATGGAAACGGCCTTGGAAAATTCCTCCCTCAGAATACATTAACAGAGGTTTGCAGTAAAGGGCAGGGCCAAGAGGTGATATATGAGGCTGACATTCAAAGGCCAGCCTGATGGTCTTCACCTCCTGCAGATCACCACTAACTCTCTCTCTCTGTGTGTCTCACTCTCTCTCTCTCAAGCTTAATATAAACACAGGTGAAATTAAAATTGAAATAAAACACACATCAGTAGTATTTGTTTCCTATTATGTATCTTAACTGTAGCCTTTCCAATTCCTTTTTAATGTAAGATATAAATATATATATATATATGTATATATATATATATCTTGCGGGCCAAATATAATTACTCTGCGAGCCAGATTTAGCCTGCGGGCCTGAGTTTTATTTTTAAGTTATTCCATCATTTGTATTAGACACAAGTAAAATGAGCTGCGATCTATCTGCTGTGAATCATCTATTGTCCCAGATATATACAAAAATATTTCACATTTATTAAATGTTAATTTGTCTCAACTATTCATGATTAATAATCATTATTAATTCACAGATGACCTGTGATTAATTAGATACAAATGTAAATCTTTTGAGAGCCCTGCTACAGTACAGGACACATTTTCATCCAATAAACAGAGTGGGATGAAAAAGATTTCAACACATTTGTGTGTGTGTGTGTGTCTATGAGCCAGAAGAAAACAGAGACGGAGACAAACAGAGTGAGACTGCACACAGAGGACCAACCCGCCAGCACACAGACATGTAGGGTGTGGATCAGATTCGAGTATTTTGCTGTTTTGCAGCAGAGTGAGTATCTAATGAGTCTGGCAGCGGATGTAGTTCCAGGCCTGTCAGTGCTGAGGCGGCACAATGCTAAAAAGGCTGAACACTGAACGAGTCTGCGCTGGTTCTTCAGGAGTCGGCCCTGTACGTTCACTGTTGCTGCCGGTTGTCTGTAGGTCTGTATACACAGATGTACGCAACCTTCAACACAGGCAGGACACGCAAGCGTTTTCTAATTAACAGGACAATAGATGATAAATGTTGTGACTAGTGATTGACGTCATTCATTTTCTCTGGAAATATTTTACTGACAAGCCATGGTCCCTTCATCCCATTGACCTCTGTTCATACTAGTTTAAAGTTCATTTAAAAACCATGGAAAACACCTACAGATTGGACCAGGATTAGATGTTCATTTTATCTTTAAAATTAAAATAAATAATAATAAAATAATTTATTTTTAATATCTGTTGGATATTGTGTTATTCTTAGGTTCCTGCCTCTTCTTTCCTCTAAAGAAGTAGGTATAAAATAGACAGGTGCATGTCAAAGGTTAAAGGTCAGATTGGGGCAACATGGTTTCAACATGACAGAGAAGCCAATGTTAGAGCAACAGAGTGAGGTCCAGGATTATCCAGTCTCCAGGGCCGAGACGCAATCCATCACTTTTTGGCCGCCACAACACAACAAAACAAAACAGATCTCACTTCCTGTTCAGGCTCGAGACCAGACACTGGCCAGCTGAACTGTAGCAGACAGTAAACATTGACTTGACCAATTTAGAAACAATCACCAAGTTATAAGGAAGTAATTTCTATTTTACTTTGAAGTTTTGGATGTTACTTCAAGCATCAGAGAAAACGCTACAGCACATTAAGAGCCAAAAGACAGGGAGGGCTGGTGGTGACCGCTGAGCTCTCACATCTGTATGTGCTAAATCACCTGGACGTAGGTTCAGATCTGAGTTTTCTGCCTTTGGAAGACTCCCAAAAATCACAGGCACCTCGACTGTTATCAGTGAGATATTTACTGTATTTTTTGGAAATAAAAAAATCCCTGTCTCCTCCGGCTCTCTCTTTATTTTCTTACACATATTTCTAATGGGAAATTTAAACATAAACCCTGGCTTTCTCCCATGACTAAACTTTCTGTAAAGACTGATAAAGAGTGATAACCTGACAGCGCAGAAAATTACAAGCTCACGCTCACTTAATATATGCTGGAATACATCTCTCTCTTAGTATGTGTCTCCTAAAGTCTCAGTTAACTTAATAAAGTCTGTATAACATTTAAACGTGTAAGGATTATAAAATAATTAGCCCGATATTAGCATATTACGTAATATGACGTGATGTCCCATCAATAAGGGGTCAGGTGCATTTAAAAAAAAAACAGATAGCTTTAAATGCAAGTGTAGGATTGTAATTATGAGACGAAAAAAAAACAGATTGTAGCTTTAAATGCATTTTTTTTCAAGTGTAGGATTGTAATTATGAGACGATCTGCCGTGTCAGAAACACAGGCTCGAGGATGTGTCGACAAAATTAATGTCTGTGGTTCAAAACGATCCCACATGCACAACTGAAACCTCATGCCTGACGCAGACTCTCATGCTGCAGTGAAACAGCTTCTCAATGTCACACGGCCAGTGAACAGACTGCTGAATCACTGCCAGCAGGGAGGACACACATATGCACACACACACACACATACAAACACACACACATACTCTTTAACACCAAAATAAACAGTCCAGTTCCTCTGCTTTCTGTCCCCTACTGTAGGTGACTGTGGTTTCAGCTTCTCAACTTCTCTGCATCTTCACCTTAGGTCCAGAAGACTTCATCTATTTCTACAGGTTTTTCTGCCTCTGGTTGATCAGTATAACAATTAGTTATTCGAATACTGTCACAATTTAATCCTGCTGGATGGAATGGTATTTTTGCAAAGCCCAAAAATCAGAAATGTTAAAGGTCAAATGTGTCATCGAGGATTCATGAAACGCCTGTTGTCCTCATATTTACAGTTATTCTGCTCATTTTATTTTTATTAATCTAGTATTTCAGTGACTGTACTGTAAATCTGCTAAAGAGCTCGTCTCGTCAATTGACTCCAATTGTCTTCCTCTGTCCGTCAATGTGAATAAAACACTGTCAAAACAAAAGTGAAGACGCTGCATTCTGTCAGGAACCTCTGAAGCGATCAATAAACCCTAATGCTCTGGCTGCTGTCTGATTGGAGGAGTCTGGTCAGGTTGCACTGATGAAATACAATATATTTATCGAAAGAAGATGGAGAGGAAATGAAATGTCGTAAACACAGCCTCCGGAGCTGTGATTTTAATTAGACAATCACTAACTTCATCTGAGAGGAGACCAGACTGACAGAAGAGGACTGGATCAATTGTTAAGGCGTTAACATGGACATTCATCTGACTGCAGGTAAAAGACCAAGATATACAAATATTCAGGGACGGGGAAAAGACATACAGAAAGAGTGGAAGACATGGACAAAAACAGTAGAAGGACACACCCTCAGGAAGGTGGCTTGAAAAGGTTGGCATTAATCATGAACAAAGTGTGTGTTTGCCTGAGTGTGTGTGTGTGTGTGTCAGACGGCCAGTCTTTTGTGGTTATAAGGGAACACGTCTGTATCCAGTAAATGTCTAGAGATCTATAGAGAGTGTCTCCCATCAGAGACCAAGGACAGGACAGGAACCCTACAGTGTTAGAGCAGCACAAATCAGACTTTGATTAGAGAGCGTCTCCCATCAGAGACCAAGGACAGGATTTAGATCCTGTCAGATCTGACAACCCTACGGTGTTAGAGCAGCACAAATCAGACTTTGTTTTTAGTGTCTTTTCGACTTGTACCAGTGCAATGTTGCTGCTGTGCTTTCTCAACCTTTATAAATGTTGACATAAATCTTTTAACTTTTTATATGCAGCTCAGGAGTGTGGCTGTGCCAAACAATCTTGGCTGGTTTTCTGTTGGTCCTGGATACAATTTCTTCTACGATGAAATAACAGATAAAGTATATTATCACATTAAATACCCTACATGCTACATGTTTGAAGTAAAAAGCTAAGATTTAATCAAGTGTCATGTTGTTTTATCTAGGGCTAAAGATGTCTGTGTTGTTTAATAGGAACCAACACTACAACACTATACATGCAATAATTGCAGAGACAACGTGTCCTGACATTTTTCCTTGACTGTTACAAGACACAGAGCAAAATCTCATTTCTTGTAGTGGTTTTCCAGAAGCAGCCATCCATCAGCATGATGTGTGCTTACAGCTGCACCACTGGATTAACAGATGAGTTAGGAACGCAACGGTGACTACAACTCACATAAAAATCCCACTCAAATTCACACAAGAGTGCAAAGAGAGAGTGAGGGTCTCCCAAGGCTTCTCGGCAGAGCAGACAGTGTGTAGTTGTGAGTGCAAAACTAAGTGAGAGCAAAATTGACATCCACCTGGAATGTGTCAAATTGATTAGTTATAATACCAGGCAGAAATAATCAGAATTTCAAGCAAACAAAACAAGATTTTCTTAGCAACCACTGCCGGCTGCAGTTATCGGCACGGTGAAGAACTTCAAGTAAACAAGTAAACGAGAAGCCATCTCACTCAACAACGTGAAGTTATCACAAGATATCAAAAACATCGTAATTGGACTCAATTCCTACTAAAGTTGGGTGGTGAAGGTTGAGCCGTACCAAGAACTTCTCCTATATTTTATAGTAGTTATAGAATTAATATAACAATACTATCAATTAGTCCATATATGGAAACTGCGACTCATTCTGACAACACAACGTCAGTCATGTTTAGCAGCTATGTTCTAAACCAATATTCCAGCAGTCAATCCTAGACAGTTTCCACATTTATGTAGCACAACATTGTTGTTTAGCCCCATGACACACTTTTGAACAGCAACCCACCATTTGAGAACCACAATTGGAGCCATTTTTTCCATCGTGCTACTAGCATGAAAAAGTCTACTACTACTACTAAGTTAGCAAACACACTTTTATCCCAAAAGTTTATTTTTCCTGTGATGTATTTTCATTGATTAGTAGTTAAACTGCTGATTTTGCGGAATGAAACCCAGGCTACGTCGTTGGAATGAATGCGTCGGCCTGAAGAAAACAAGAAACACGCACACGCACACACACATACACATTAACAAACACTTACCATCTCCATCTTCAGTTTCCTGATCTTTTCATCCAAACTCTTCTTTCCGGTCTCCTTGCCACCGTCGTGAGCGACAGCCAGCTTCGCTTCTCCCCGGAAAGAGGACGCCTCTTCCCGCAGACACCTGAGCAAACCTTCGGGAGTCTTACGGCCGAGCTTCATCTCTATGTCTCTCAAATCGGGGGTGGATTCGTTGACAGCGCCTTCATCCATCGCGTCTGTGTTTAGGACGTGAAAAAATCCGCAGAGACAGAGAATTTACGTCCTTTTGGTTTGTTGGACAACGATGTAGTAGGAACGACTCTGTCCAGGACCGTGTGGCATCATATGCGGCTCCCGGACAGATTCTCAGTCTGACAACATCACAACATCGTTTGTTATTCCGGTCGTTTAAATTTATTTTACTAACTAAGTCTTTAAATCGCAATGGACCGACGCGCATCAAGTGAAACCATAGGTCCAGGTGGCAGATGAATTTCCGGTGCTATTCGTTTGCACTTTGGTCTGCGGCTGTAAACACAGTCCTGTGTTGTGGATGAGTCTCGTTGCTTGTTGCAGATCTTCACACTGAGGGACGTTGTTGCGCAGATTCCACCTGCATGAAGCAGAAACAGTGTAGCAGCAGTGACGAGCGGGCCGTAAAGCCAGACGGAAGGACACCATACTGCATCCGGTTATGTGGTTTCGGAATTAAAGTCACCAAAAGGAACCAGTTAGTTTTCCGTGAGGACCTGCAAAAATAAAAGACAAAACTTTTTAAGTGAACGTTTCAAGGGATATGGCACCAAGGAAAATAAACAATTTAGGGAAATTCTTAAATCATAGGAGAAACGTAGAATAATAATGATAAATAACTTAACTAAAAATAGTTTTAACTAAATTACATGGAATTAAATTTTTTTTAATTAAACGGTTACTTTACTAAAGAATCCAGGGAAAATCTGAGTAAAAGAAGAATTACAATTCAGGGTAAAGTGTAGTAGAGTTCTGAGATGTAGCAAGGGTCTGGGTCAGAAAACATAGATACAGAAACCAGAGTGAAATTCTGAATTACTTAAATAAATATGTAAGTAATAATATTGTTTTATTCTGCCTTGAATTGCTAATTTTGGTTAAATCAAGTTTGCAATAGGACGTTACAATAAGACTGGATTCTGATGAGAAATGACAGGGAAATATTTCTCTGAAAATACAAAATAAAAGAGACATTACTGACATCAACACCTCAACCCATAATGCTTTTGTTTGGACTCTTGGCTGCTGGATTACAGAAATTATTATTCAAATTGAAGCATCTGTAATCCTAACTGTCATCTGCCTGGTGGTATCCATGATGAACCACCATGGCAACCACTTGCAGAGAGAGTGTTTCTGCACACCCACATCATATGAGTGGAGAAAAGCAGCCCACTCAGAGCAAAGACCCACAAAAAGTATAAACGTCCTGCAGCGGAATGTAGACAACGTCACGTTTCAACGTTTCATTTATGCAAAAATAAAGCACACACATTTTATGTAGGAAAGTGAAAGCTGCATCATTAGTAACAGTGGCCAAATAGCCAGTGGAGACCATGAAGTATTAGGTAACTAAGTCTTTAATATAGACTAAAAATGTACAGGTTAATATCTTTAGTTACTCTACTGTATCAACCTAACCTGCCTCTGGAGACTAGCTTCAGTGAGACACTCGTAATGACAATCGACTTTAACTATTTCCTTTGGTTCGGCCGTCAGTTACATTTGTCCTCTATCAAATGAAACCTATCATTACTGGAGGATAGAGATCGCCGGTGCAAATCTCAACCCAGGGGCAGGGCTGTGGTGTGTTAAGCAGACACTGCGAACTCCCCCGCTCTGTGGGTGCAGCAACACCTCGCCCACTGACACTGTAATATGGAATCAAAGTTTGTGTTTGTACAAACGCATGTTTTAGTACAATGACAAATAAAGCCTTTTTATTGTCTTCTTTAAAAAAAAACATCAGACTTTCCAGAGCCCGATGGTTCACATTTTTGCAGTTGACAACAACCAACAGACAGGCAGCTTAATCACTGCTGCTCTGCATTGAATGTGACTTTTCTGTCAAACTCTCAGAAAAAATGAGGTAAAAAGAGACTGTTTTTTTATCATATAGTCTCGAAATGAAATCACACAACTTAAAAGCGGCTCACGGTACACAAGGGTCAGAAAAGTAAAACATGTACCAATAGTCTCTCGCTGTCATCCTCCTACTCTATGGGCTGCACAGTCACTCCCAGCCCAACCTGTTCAACCTGTCTACAGCTGGATGACAAGAGTGGGTGGTGAAGCACGTCCCAGTAGAATGATTGGTGCAGACTCAGAGGAGAAAAGGAATCCCATGTGGGAGGTTTTTGAATATTTACTTATAAAAACAGTTGTACTGTATTTTCCTTCATTTTCAAGAGGAACGGCTGGTGGAGGAGGGGTTGGGGGCCATGGAGGCAGAAAACACAGCTGAGATTGAGTCTCTGATGGAGGACATGGACTACATCCCCGGTCACTTCCACCTAGAACTCAACCTCAACTGTGATCCTGTCGGGCCTGTGAAGCTCCGACACAGGGACACCTACCTGAAACAGGAGAGTCTGTGGGGAGAGTTAGAGGCTGAGGTGGGATATTTTCAGTATGCTGTCAGAAATCTCCTGGGTCTGCTAGCTTTTCACCTGGAACAGCTGGACACGGCTGAGGAAACATTCAGGTAATGGCTGTTGATGTAGCTTGTTTGCTACAGGTAATCACTGTTGTTATGTTGTGGCTACATTTATTTAAACGCTAACTACAAATTATGCTTTAGTTTTGCTAACCCTGACATGCTAATATGTATAGATTAAGTTTACATTTGTATTTATTTCACAAAATGAATCATTAATATCATCGATACATTTGAGCTTAGCTTTTTTGGCTAATTTTCAGTTAGCTTCTTTGGCTAATATCAAACAATTTCCCCCTTTTATTTTGAGCTAATTTTTACAACTTCCTAGTTTCTACCCTAGTATTTATTATTTGTAATTTGGCATGTACTTTGGCCACCTTTAGTTTGTATTTCTATATATTTATTATTTGTAATTTGGCATGTATTTTAGCTTATTTTGGCCACCTTTAGTTTGTATTTCTATATTTTAGTTAACTATATTAGGGAAAATATTGTTATACAGCTAATTTATATATTTTTTAGTGTTTTTAACCATGTATCCTCAAACTCAGCTCAGCCATATAAATATAAATCCAGATTTCTGATCATTAAGCTAGTTGAAATTATGTAACACAGCATTTAACAAGAGCCTCCAGTCAAAACATCTGTGAACAGCAGCTCTGTGAAGCTATCCTTACATCTAATGTTCTGCATTGTTGACTTTGGCTTCCTACCACAATGAAATGCTAATGGGTAGAGACAAAAATGGAAGCTAATTATTATACTAAGCACATGGTGCTCTGTCTGACACGTCACCAGTACACCAGTGCTCAAGTCTAACAGACTTTAAACCAGCTGTGCTCAGATGTGTGTGAAAATGTGACTGTCCACACAAACGTTCCAATAGTCGCTAAGACATTTCTGAAGAAAAGCAGCGGACAAACCGACAGGTGGACCGTTAAAGGTATCACTAGTCAATACCAAAGAAAAAATCAGATCCAATGAAAGTAAAAAAAAAATCCATTAATATCATATGAGGCATCCTCTCTGAAAAACTCTGCAGAAACACACAGAAACGTCACTCTGTGATTTTCTTTTCTTGTGCATCCCCCTTTTTCAGAAGTATTTGTAAAGAAGACCCTGGAAACCTGAATGCCTGGGCCAACCTGGGCTATGTCTACGATAAGTTAGGGAGAGAGCTGGACGCAGGGGAGTGTGTGGAGAAAGTTTCTCAACTTATGGGTCTAGAAAGTGGGGAGGCCACTCAGGAGGAGACCAGACTGCTGGCTGCTCGCTGTCTGGCTGAACAGGCTTACGTTTATCCACACGATGTTGAGCTGGACAGTGAGGACGATCTGAGGGAGAGGCTGACCGCCGCGCTGACGTTATACAATAAAGCTCTGGACTACGGGGGGCAGTTGGTAAGAAAGGAAACTACACACCCTAAGGCTTATCAATGGATAATGTTACTGTCATATAAAGTCATGATACTGTGTCCAGATTCCAACTGAGGAAAAGAGAAGCTGGTATTTTAAAATGGCAACCATCTACTTAAGGTACAAGAAAAGCAAACGCTCATAAACCTTTCAGTGTTTGTTCAATGTCTCATGTTTACTCTCTCTGCAGACTAGATGAAATGGTCAGATCTAAGGAGGACTCTGAATACTACAGACTTTCTTACTATAATAAGGGACTGAAGTTGCTTAAGGAAACACTGGAATCTGAAAAAACACAACATAAAGGTGAATTACCTGCATTTCCGTCTGTTTTGTTGTGTATTTGGGTTCATCATGAAACACAACAATAGATGGATGGATGGATGGATGGATGGGTGGATGGATTGGACTTTACTGATCCCAATTTGGAAGCTGCGTACATTGACAGAATTATGGCAAAGTTTAAAGTTTGGGTTTAAAGACAGAGCTGTGGCAAAGATGGTGCTAAAAGTCAATTAGAAAAAAAAAGTAATAGTTTTGTCAAAATCAAACATAAAAAAGTGCATTGTCTAAGTGAATAACACTGAGGAAAAAAACATCAGAAGAAACGATAAAACTAACATGGCTACGTGTGCATTTCTAAGGTGCACAATCCATTATATTAATTTAGGTTCATTATCAAGACCATATACAAAGGAGCAGAGAGGTGTGAATGGCAGCTATGAGTCAGAGCAACTGTGGTATGAAACTGTTTTACTGACTGAGAGCAGACACTATCGTCAGCCTTTGTCATAGCCTCTCCTCTGTTGACTCTGGTTCTGTATGTACTGTATGTATGTTGAACTACCTCTGTTCCCAGCTTTAGCCTGGTGTTATATTGGCATCTTGTTGGAGAGGAAGGAAGAGTTTATGACTGTGCCCATGTCTGTACATGACTGTGGATTCTCTGCCTCTGATCCTCTGTCCTGCTATGGAACTGTAAGTCCAGCTGTGCAGTTAAACTTTTAATTTTACTTTACAAATGTGAGGCAGATGCAATGGTTGCAGTTTCTGCTCGTTTAAACCACGACGCAGCAGTTACACATTAACCTTGTTAGTCAGATTTATGCCTTGTCAAACACCGATACAAATCTTTTATCAACTGTAGCTGGATAGAATTTTATGAATGTTATCAGTTCAAAAGGAACGCTAGAGAAACATTTGATATCTGCTTGACACGTGCGTTTGTTAAACTCTCTCATACAGCACCTGCTGTTCATATTAACTATGAGAATCATTGTTTTCCATATCAACATGCCATATTTACAGAATCACAGTTTACATCAAGGCTGTCAACATAAATGTGGTGTCTGTCCTTTGTTACCCATACATTTACAGTTATGGGTTATTTATCCAAATCAGTGAATTTGACTGGAATTACAAACTGGAATTTAAAAAACATCTAACAAAAAGCAACGTCAGACCAGCAGCTCACTTCAGCTACAGTGAAAACCTTTAGTAATAGATTTTTGGACTGAGTTGGATTGTTTTCGATGTCTGTTGAGGTCTACTGACATTACATGTTCCAATTCTGCACCATTACAAAAAACTATCTGTGTCTTCAGGCCATTAATCTAGCCAGCGATGATGCCTTCATCCTGAACCTTTTGGCCAAAGTCTTCTTCCTGTTGGGCAAACATGAGATGGCCACTGGAATCAGCAACATGGCCTTAAATGTGCTGCCGGATCCAGAGCTCAACTGGCAGGCGTACTGCACCCGCGCCAAGGTAATGAAGCTGAAGCTTATTTGAAAGATTTTAAGATATAGTTAAAGTTTCTTTAAAAAAAAATCTATGTCGTGTGTTCAAAGGTTCCATGTGGTCAGGCTTGCTTATGTATTTTCCAGTGGAAAATACCTCCAGTAGGTGGCAGTTATGCTCTATAATTAGATACAGAGCTGATGGTAAAACCCAATGAAAAACAAACAACGGTGCTAACTTTGACTTTAGAAAAAAGACTGTCGCTTATTTAAATCTATGGATAAAATACTTTTACCTAACTGCATTTATGAATTATCTGAGGTACAAAAAAAGAAGAAAGTAACAAGGTGATAAGTGATAAGTGATGGAAAATTACATTACAAAAATGCATGTTGAACATACAGGAAAATTGCATTACAAAAATGCATGTTGAACATACATTTTTTTGACCGAGTTACGAGATTAAACTCATCAAAAAACAGTGTGGTACCTGAATGCTTTAATCATACAAGAGGCCTTGTGTTTACTGTGCATCATCACGAGGCCAAGAGGGGGCACTACATCCCAAATGTTCACCTGCACAGAGTTTCAAAACATTTAACAGAATCCTACACCCTGGACCTTTATTTTGTGTTTCTGAACATTATTATTATTATTATTATTATTATTATTATATCTTAGACACGTAAACACAGCCTAATTTTTTTTTTTTTATTAGATCAATGTAATGCTTTACGTCAGGGACCTAGAAAAGGCAAAGCATGGCCATGGTGGAATCCCAGACCGACAGATGCTAACAGAGGCCAGGAAGGACTTGGACAAGGTTCTCAGTGTGCGTCCATGTCTGCGCACTCACCTGGAGATGGCTCAGGTGAGGACATTGATTACGGCAGAAAGACATACAGTAGATCTACAGTATGTCTCATGTTGTGTAATAGTTATTTATGTCTCCTTTTTAAGGTGTACTACTACATGGGCGTGGACGCGGTCCAGGAGAGTCTTTTGGTGGACGAGGCAGCCGTTAACAATGCACTGGTGAGTTTGTCCCATGCCCTGCAGTTCAGGATCGGGGACTGTCTACCAGACCTCCACGTGCTCAGGGGACGCTGGGGAGGAGCGTAACGGTGCAGGCTGCTTCAAACAAGCTGTGGAGTTAGAAAGGCCAGGGAGCACAGACACCACGGCTCTGCGCTGCCTCCTACAGGCACTCCTGGCTCTCTTCATGCAGGGGAGCCCTGATCCCAGTCATGCGGTGACCCAGCTGGAGACGTGCGTACAAAGGGCAGAGGAGAGGTACCCCAAAGACATTGTGAAGTCTGAGCTGAGGTGTTTATACAGGACTCAGCCAGCAGAGGTCACCGAGTTGTCCAGAGCTCTGATCAGCACGGGACGAATGGATCTGGTGAAGAGGCTGCTAGAAACTGTTCTGCCTAAACAAGTGGCGAAGAGGAAAGCTGGTAGATCGTTTTCTTTTGCATGAGGCCCAAATACAGATAAACTCTGGACTCTGATTGGACGGTGAAGTCCACCTCCAAACAAGATCATGAAATACTGCATGTGTGCAGAAAGAGTGGAGGACGAGTCGGTGTCAATTAACAGCATCTCCACCTAAATGTAAAGAGCATGGCGTAACATTTTAGATGGAGGAAATTACCTGCGAACAAGTGTTACCTGAGCTGAAATAAACAATGACTTACTAGAATGGAATGAAATGCCGAGTTATTTTTAAGTTGTTTTTCTTTTGGTGCTTGCTCAGTGAGTTATCGAACATGATTTTCGTTTCGGGGTTTTTTCCCCCCTGTTATGTTCTGTAAATTTACATTTTGAACTGGTCTTTGTTCACTCTTCCTTTTATTATATATTGTATTTATAGTCGACCACATTCGTGTTACTGGGGCTTTCTTTTACGATAAAGGAAAGAAAAATAGGTTTTACTCAAGTTGCTTTTTCCCCCGATACGACCCTCGCCAGTGATCCTACAGTACAGTACATTCCAGAAATATGGCGTAAACTTACGAGCATTAGCGACGAGGCAAGTTCTGCAGCATTGTTCAGTTTGCTGCCAATTTTCAAATGCCTTTAAAACATAAATCTTACACAGTTTTACTCAGTGACACTGACAGTCAATCAAATCCATGTGTGTTTTTTTCTGTAGGAATGGTAATCAGATTGGTTTATTTACAAAATCATATCATTTAAAAAAGGAAAATGTTACTTTGTGTTTACATCACACGTTACATTTTGATGAGGATTTGTATGCCTGTAATTAGGATGATTGACAGTGACAATTAAAGGCACAAATAGATCTTCTCTTGCTAATGTGGCGCTCCTTGAATCAGGCCTAATGTCATTTTATTGCTTCATATTGCAACAGTGTGGAAAGTGATGTGAACCAGGTGAACGGTAAATGGCTCAGAGTTCTTCAAGGCTATTTTCATTATGAGTTTAATGCGTGAATTTAATTGTGGCATAAAATATAATTCACGCCTGAAACAAATGACACATTGTAATTATTACGGAACATTTTGTTCTTGCCTTTTTTGTGTACTGGAAGTATATACAGAATAAAGAGGAATGTTTTTTATTTTCACTGAAAGGTTTACTGACAATTTATGATGACTCTTTTCTTTGATGAATGAGGTTGAATTTTTTTTTTTTTTTTTTTTGACAAACCTATTTACATTGTCAAAGAGAAATGTGCAGCAGTTGGCTGATGTCCAACAATTCTGGTTTGACACCTTCACTGTGACTGCTGTTTTCCCAGCGAGGCAGATGCCACGCCATCATCGTGAGCAGCTTCACTCTGATCGGTCAGGTAAGGATTTGTACAATTTGAAAGAAAATATAAACTTAAATCAAATATAGAAATCTAATTGCAAAGCTATATGGACATTCAAAAGTGATTCCTTTTATTTTTAAACACAGTGACAAAAAGTGCTGTTGGTGCGTCGTGAGGAAATGCCAGACTTTTGAAGAATTTTTTTGTCTGTTTAAGTCATGAAGTTAGTAGGATCTGGGGTCAATGCGATGCGTTGACTATTGATGACGAGAAAGCAGTATTAAGATCAAGGGTTTTCTAAAATATATTAACAAACTGCAGAAAACATCATTATTCAAAACATGGTTTTTGTTCATTTCTATTGTTGTTGTTCATTTTTATTGTTGTTGTTCTATTTTTGCTCCAAATCTGTAAATAAAACCAGATTGTAGGCAAGAATTCTAGTTAATGTTAAACTTGACTACTTGTGCTATAATACAATGAATCCTAAGGTTGTTTGATTTGGATATTGCCTTTGTATTTTTCCAATTTCTGTAGGAACTAAACAGACAGGTACGCATGCACACCGGTGGAATCTAAGACACAGCAATAAAAAAAAATTTAAAAAAACTTCACCAGTGTAGATTTAGACTAAACAATAAGACAGTTTCAACCCTGTCCACTCGTCAACCTGAGCAATACAATTACTGTATCATCGCTGCTTCCTCTGCTGGCGGAGGAACGGGGGGCGCTTCATATTCTTGACTGACATAGAATAAGACTGAACTGTAGTATCTTTTTCAATCCATTGCAGACCTTGTGTTGACCATTCTACTTATTCCATCAGTTCAACAGAAAATGGCAAAAGAGTCGACTTCCTGGAGTACTGGTCTCTGTGACTGTGCCTATGACCTCACACACTGTAAGATTTAAAGTCCACGATCACTTTCTTACTCTTTTTAGATTGACCTGAGTTAATTCAACTTGGTTTGTTGTTGTTTTTTCAGGCTGCTATGGCTGCTGGTGCTGCTGTTGCCTGGCCTGCAACGTTTCTAAAAAGTTCGATAACGATTGTTGTCTCCCAATGTGTGACATTTGCATACCTGCCGTCCTTGCTGCCTTTTCAATCCCTCTGATTGCACCTCCTGCAGGCTTGTCCCTAAGGGTAGCCATTCGACAGCGATATGGCATCAAGGTATAAAAAAAAGAGCAATTAAATTCAAGTATCCATTGGGGAGGAGGTTTAAGCCTCTTGATAAAGAATTTTTATTATTATTTTTATTTTCAAATTTCTGAGTTAAGGTGGACTCATACTGTATGAGCGTTCAATTCACGTTACATGGTACTTGGTGTAATTATATAATGATAGAAAATCTCTCAAAATCCTCCAAGTGATTTGGATTTTTCTTTCTGCAGGGTCATTTACGTGACGACATTGCGACTTCCTGTCTCTGTATGTGGTGCTCCTGGTGTCAGATGGACCGTGAGTTAAAAATTCAAGAAGGAAAGAAAACTGAGGTCGTGAACTGGACCCCGGTGGCAGTGAATGTAGTCTCTCAAAGTCCACCTCGAGAGAGCCAGCTGGGCCCATCAGCTGTTGTACTGGGCTTATGATGTCATAGAGAAACTAAACGACTAATGATAATAATTTTAACAGGACTCTTCTGTGGCAGAAAACTACCTTAAATTTTAAACTGTGAGGTTCATGATTATTATTGGGTCTACTGGGTGTAAATGTGTACAAAGACTGTAGAATTCAAGAATTAAAAATGTTCAAATCAATTAAATCCATCTGGATATTACCTCTATCTCCACTTTGTCATTACACTGCATATGCATTACCAAAATGGTTGATATTGAATAATCTATAAATAAATTTGATCTTAAAAACGCTGACAGACTTTTGTGGGTGAACTTCACGACATTAATATATTTTTTGAATTTTTTTGTATGTTTTGGTTGTTCAGTTGCTGTTGAAACTAGGACGTCATTTTTAAACAAAATATTCCGTCCAATCTGTTGTCTAAGTGCAAATGCTTGACTTAACTTTGTGCCTTGTCCAGAGACACTATCGCCCCCCCCCAGAAATATACTTTTACTATTAATCAATAAATTAAATGCCCCATCTAAACATCAATAACATAGATATAAACAAATATATTGATCATATAAAATAGTAATAATTAAGAAAATATTTTATATTATTTATATTATATAAAGTGACGGGTAAAAGGGACAAGCGAGGGACAGAGAGCGCGACAGTGTCGAGTGTTCAGGTCATTGACGACAACAATATAAAATAGAAATCGTTCTTGGCAAAATTAAAACAAAGTATTCTTGTGGCTTTAAAAGTAATTATATATATAGAATGTGAAACTGGAAAACTAGCACATGCCACACCTTCAATCATATTGAACAGTGCAATTCCCCCTTCTGGGAAGTGAAGACTTTTACCTTGGCCCTTGAATCTGGTTCAGCCGCATTGCTTGGTTTCCCAGAAGGAGGCTGCACTGCAACATCAGGACGCAGTCTTCTGTAGGCTCCTCCAGTGACAACACGGATTTCCACTCAGTCAGGTATGAAGGAGTTTTTAACTTTATAGGAAAAGAAAAATGTTTGCTGTTTAATTTGTCAATACATGTGTAGTCAAATGTAGTCAATTCATATGAGAAATCTGATTGCTGCAGGAATTCACAATATGTAATCTACTGTATGTCATGTAATCATCCAGTGTAAAGAGATAGAGTTTGGACAGGTTCAAACCATGACATCACATTTTTTAGTTGCTATTTGAGGATCAGTGTTTTTTTTAAATTTCTTATTGATATTATTGTTTGTTATTAATATAATTACACTTTGTTGTGTTTAATTTGAATTTTTAAAAAATATGTGTAATGCAACATCTTGTCCTTTCTCTCTTAATCTGCCATTGAAAGAAATGTTGCTATATTTTGTTTTCCTATAAAAATGTTTCAATTGTATACTTTTTGAAAACCCCAATAAAAAATAATATTGAAACAAAAATCTGTGTTGTGTCAACAGGTTTCATCCAGTTCAGCAGTCGATGGCAGAACCATTGACTGAGTGGAGCACAGGTCTCTGTGACTGTTGCGAGGACACCAAAGATTGTAAGACCAACCTCTGCGTCTAAAAACCATTGACATACTTAATGTGTTCCATTCATCGTCGTCAGTTCCTAATTCCTCTTACTCGTTTCATTTATTTTCTCAGGTTGCTATTGCTTTTGGTGCTGCTATTGTATGTCCTGTGATGTTTCCAAAGGATTCGGAGAGGCTCGATGTCTCCCGATATTTGACATTTGTCTCCCTGCCTGTTGGTCAGCATGTGGAATTCCTATATGTGTCCCTCCGGCGGGTCTGTCTCTGAGGGTTGGCATGAGACACAGATATGGCATCAAGGTATAGAGACGCTGGACAAATTTAATAGTACTTTGATTGGGATATCTATATTTCCATACTGTATATATACATATATCTATATTTTTTTACTTAAATAGCGTTATCATTTATTTTCCCTCAGGGTTCTCACTTGCAGGACATCGGATATTCTTGTGTCTGTGTGTTTTGCTCCTGGCGTCAAATGTATCATGAGTTAAAAAGGCGAAAGGAAACAACGACGCTTGTGGTAAACGCTCAACCTGCAGCGGTGACAAATCATCCAGTACATGAGCCACCTGCTGGACTCTACCCTCAGACAGCTATCGTATTGGCTAAATACTGAAATGCATCAATCGAATCAAATAAGCAGGTGAACATCCAAGCCTTCACCACCGGGGGTTAAAATCGATCTGTCTTTCTGTAGATCATGTCTTTGTTTTAATGTTAGCCTGGAGTCAAACTGAATAACTTTTATTTCCTGCACCTCTACTTTATAACTTACGACAATACACACACTGTGGTAAAAATAACTTCAATAATGTAAACTTTTGACAGGTAATTATTTGTATTTTGATTTCTGTTTTCATTTGAATGACTGTTGACAATGAATTGAGGCCCCAGCCAATGACAATCAGTTATACATTAATACATTCTCTTGATTTTTATTTTTTACTGTAATTGAAACATAGTAATATATATATAAAAGAAATAAAATAAATTCTGCATAAACATTGCGTTTTTGACCATCAATCTAAACTGTTTAATTTCACATTAATGTTTACTTTTACTACGGACAGGTGGGAATGTGTCATCGCAGCACAAGAACAAACTGTAAGTGCGGTTCCTTAATCAGTAGGTGAACTGGTAACAGGTTTTGGGTACTATGATTAGTCATTGTTACATGATGTGTGTTACACTGGTCTGCCTGCAGTCGAGATCCATGTCCAATACAAATACCCAATCCATCACGAAAAAGAGTATCAAACCATGGCTAACTAAAACTAAAATACCAAGTTAAACTATTATATTTCTATATTTATATTTCTTCTGTGATGTGATTGGTTGTTCTGTCTTTTCCACATTTTATTGAAATTGGTGATTTTCTTATAGATCAACAAACTGTGCCTCTCTAAAGCCACGTTACATCCTTTCCTCTGTTTTTGTTACAAATACCTTTCAAACAAACAGTTTCAAATTAGGCCTGTGGTGATTAAAAAAAAAACAGTGGAAAGTCTGGGGCCTTGCTAACAAAGTTATTGTCTTTATGGCTGCTGCTTTTGCAGTCATGTCTTTGAGGGAAGGAAAGATTCAGGTTCTGCAGCATTGCTGTAGCCTGACTTACCCAGGATGCTCTTCCTCATCCTTGTCCTGGGTTTGTCATTCTCGGCCAGATCGTGTCCAGGTAAGAGCTTTTTTTTTCGGTTCTCAAAATTCCTGAAAGATAAGAGATCTTAACTCCATCGCATTTTAGTGTTTTAACCATCAGTTATAATAAAGGTAAAACTACTTCCTGGTTTTACTTATGTGTTTGTTTCAGGTGTCACACCCACTCCATGTGTCAATAAGTACTGTGTTGATATATATATAAATACTGTACTTGACGTTGGAAAACTTGTTTAAGATTACAGATACATTTTTAAGATTTACAAATGGCATCAATGTGTCTAAACACACAACTGCATCCTGATATTTTCTGTACTTGTTAGCAATGCTGCAGTCAGATCTACAGTTCATTTAGCTGGAACTGGGAGGTAAACTGCAGTCACTTTTAAGGAAAGGGCATGTACCTGATGTCATAGTTGAAATATTTCACCTCTACTTAACTGCAGACTTAACTACCTAAGTTAATTTTTAATTCAAAACCCATCCTATTACAGTGTAGTTGGTGTAATTATTTTTATACAGAAGATATCTTACTAAAGAAAATGTATTATTTTTACACAGAAGATATCTTACTAAAGAAAATGTTTTTTGGGCTGTTTCAGTTGATATATAGAAATAGAAATGGGGAAAACAAAGTAATAATATATGAAGTTTAGATTAAAATAACACAGGGAAACGGTGGAAAACCACAGGGTCATATAGTAGACTGTTGTAAACAATTGGCGGGCGGGGATGATGGCATTTAGTCTGAACGCTAGCCAGCAAGCTAATATGAGCTAATATGAGACCATTGCTTTGAATTTGTTGAAACATAGAATCTGAACAACCAGGATGTAAAGTCAGGCTAGTATATTTATACTGTATCTATCAAAGTACAGTTAGCCAGAAGATATCCACACAAAAACAACACGGAATTAATCACAAATACCATAAAACTTATTTCAATAGGGCAACGAAACTCAGTTCAGTGCTTACCAGTTCGGTGCTAACCAGGTCAGTGCTAACCAGTTCAGTGCTAACCAGTGACCACAGGTTTTTGAGTTTTGACAGATGTTTCAGAGAAGTAATGTAAAGTCTGTCAAGAATGAACAGAGGTGGGAAAGTCTCCAGTACAAAAATAACAGTGACAATGCTCTTTTAGTTCTCTTCTCTCAGAACATACAACACCAGTACACTGACTAATAGGTGTGACCCTTCAGGTGCTCACAGTTAGACGTGCCTCCAGGGAATGTAACTCTGATTCACACCTGCTCTCTAGTGAAACTGGAGGTCTCCAGGAAAGTGCTAATCACAGAAGCTGTTAAAATATCTATGAAATCTACTACAGGTGGTCCTCAGTTTACAATGTCTTTGATGTACAGCGTTTCATAGTTACATTGTACACCACAAAGTGTGGCATAATTGTGTGATAGCAGAAACATGGTCTAAAATTTAACAAAATATTAATTTAAAAAACACTCCTACAATTATAGAAAAAAAACTCCCATAAACTCAAGAGACAACATGATGACACAGATAAAGAGGTTTTTAGGAAAATGCTGCTCTGTAGTAGTGGTAGGATTTTTGAGCTACATTAACTCTTCTGTATTGTGTTTGTTCAGCTTCATTCTTGACCGCAAATATTACAAGCTCATCATCCAATGGCACTTCAACAGCCCTTGAGTGATTGGCACAGTGGTCTCTTTGACTGCTTTGAGTCATCAAGCACATGTAAGGTTCAAATCCCCCACTGTGACAGATGTGCAAGGCTTTGGTTTAAATCTGTTCACTCTTCATCCCTTCTATTACAATTACAGGTTGCTATGGTTTCTGGTGCTGCCCATGTCTTGCCTGCACTGTTGCTGGAAAGTTTGGACAGAATCGTTGCCTCCCACTGTGCGACCTGTGTGGCCCTGCTGCACTGACAGCATGTGGGATACCTCTGTTTGCTCCTCCAGCTGTCATCTCCCTGCGGGCGGGCATCCGCTACAAATACAACATCAAGGTGCGGTGTCTGTAACTCCTCATGTAGCACCATCGATACTAATGACGCGCTAGCAGTGTCGATATAAAACAATGGCACCGAGAGAATTCATTTAAGAAGCTTTTCTCATTTTAGGACTCGTTAATAATATTGACACTTTAATTAAGGATACAACTTTTGTACTTTGTAAAAGCACCCCTTGGTTTTGTTACTTCACTACTAGTATGATGTCAGAAGTGCAAGGAGGCTGGAGGTTCCCTCATAAATTTACTGATTTAAATCACATTATGATAGATAAAAGTAATAAATATTACAGATAAAATGATCTACTGATAATCAATCACCAACTATAGACATTGTTGAAGCAGAAACTCAACAACATAGATACTACTGTGTTAAAAGTATTTTTAGTTTTAACCAACTCAAAAATTCTAAAGAAACCACTAGGATTACAGACAGGGGTAGGGCTGCTACCGTCAGTGCCTCGCCCCGCAATGCAAGCTCTACGGACTAACCAGGCTGCTGGACCTGTTCAACCAGGACATGGAGGCAGCACAAACTCTGACATGTTCAGAAATCACACTTTTATTTATACCCCCAAGTCATTCAAAATGCCTTCAACGCCCAGGGTGGGCTGAAAAATGTTCAGTAAAATATACAGTAACACAGGCAGACCTGATGTAGGGGTCTTCTATTAAAAAAACATATCCATGATTTCAGATGATTTTCATGAAAAAACATGATGGTTTATCTTTTAAATTTTAACTTCATTAAGGATTAAGAATCCATTGTCACATTTGACTAAAAAAAAAAATCAAAGTCTCATTAAAGGTAAAAAAAAAAACAATGTTGGTGTCATTTCATATAAAAAAAAAACAAAAACAATTTAACAGCATTAGATTCAGAAGTAGACCAAGATTTGTTGTGGATTAACAGGATTCTGAACTAAACCAATGATACTTTTCTGTGTCTGTTTAGGGCACACTATGCAAGGACATCTGCTCTTCCTGTTTCTGTGTGTGGTGCACTTGGTGTCAGCTGCACCGGGAGTTAAAGAAGCGGGACAAAAACCCTACTGTGGTGGTCAATGTTCAGCCAAGACACGCCCAGTGAGCGTGAAGGGTTTGTAGCATGAGATTATGTATTCCACTAGTGAAAAAGAAGTTCTAGTTCTTGTTTCTCTTTCTAATTATAGAGTCTTTAGGGTAAAATCTTGATGTTAGAACAATGACATATACTCATTAAGAATAATTCACATTTCTTTAGCTATTGTAACCCATTGATACATTTCTGTGGTGTCAATATGGCTGTACCAAATTAGTCTAATAAAATTCACTTGAATTATAGAAATATTGTTGGATTGTCTTTTTTTATTATCCTATCCTTAAGTCTAGATTATTTATTACAGGTCTAAAGTCTAAATTCAGGCTCTGAGGTCTGTTGGTGAACACAAGCGAGTTTATATAAATAAATAAACTATATTTCTTATGTAATAATTTATATATAATTTAAATATGCAGACCCCTATATATATACTGTATATATATAGTACATATATATATACACTGTATATATAGTACATATATGTATACACTGTATATATATATAGTATATATATACACCGTGTATATATACTATATACGTATATACACACAGCCAAAATATGTTTTTTATAGTGTTTTATAAACAATTCAGGGAAACTTCAAAATGCATTTTCTACAAAACTATGTATGAAAAAATAAAGAAAAATGTCCCAAATAAAAGAGCACAAACAAACAGAACCAAAAGTTCAAACCTGGTTGAACAGGTTGACTTCTGAACCGTGGAACCGTCCACTGACAGACGCCGACACAAACATGGCTTCAGGCATTTGTCGTCATTTCATGCATAGTTTTACCGTAGACATTTGCAGACAATCGAGAGGCAGCACCAGCTGGAAAATCCGCTCAGACTGCGTGTAAACACACGAGCTGACATTTGACCCAAACACTGACTCAGTTATCAGAGATCTACAGTATACTGCGGTACCACATGAACAAGGAGAGGGGTTTCCAAACTTTTCCATGTCCAGGATCCCCAAACAGAAAAAACCTGCAACAAGTCACTTCAATTGCAGCGCTACCAACTGAGGTCATGCAGTTCATCCTTAAACAGACATGAACACATCAGAGCTTCTTTCAGGTAATAAATCACTTTATTTCCTGGTTTGACAGAATCAGCTTTTACTGTGTCTATAGCACCAGACACGCACCAGTCATATTTGGTCTTTGGGTTTGTAGAGTCGGTGATGTGGAGATGGGACAATTATAAGTCATTGCATTAAAAATGTCCAAGAAAAGAAACGTATCATTTTTTTTTCACAACCTTTTCACTTTCTTTCCCGTTAAGAACTTTGTTTTAAAAGGTGAGTCTTTTGCAAAAACCATGAAGCTCGGAGTTCCTGCCTTGACAAAGAACCTACAAACAAAAGCAGAAAAGACGGATGAATCTAAATAACCCAGTGTGACTGAAACACACACACACGTTCCCGTAAACCAATAAGGTCTAATTATTGCTGACATTTGGCTTCCTGCCAACTGATGACAAACACTGTTGTCAACCTGTTGCTCTTGTCTTCTTTTTTGTACGAGGTGTACTTTTTATTGGTTGTAGAAAATAATATTTTAGTTATTTTTGATTCTTAATAACAAACCTAAAATACACGTGACACCATTTTGTTTTTCATATTTTCTTATAGTTTACCTTTTATGCTGCAACACCTCCAAAAGTGTTGTCTCCAGGTTTATCTGGTAAACAGCCTCTTTCTCCTCATCCTCAAAGTACAACTGGAAAGAGGGAAAAGCAAAAAGACAGGTTTTCAAAATGGTGGTTCATGTTTAAAAACAAGGTCTAACATTTAAGGTTTTGCTCAACACTGTTGTGGTTAGCAGTACTGGGAGTGCTGTGCTACACCTGAGGCTGTAATGGCAGAATATTGATACGGGATTGTGAAATGAAATATCGCAACATTTCAGCGTACTGATAATTTCTTGCACTTCTATTGGTATTTGTACCTGTAAGTTTTGTGGATAATATTTCCTGTCTACATCCCACGGTGGAAGTTCTTCTCCAAACATGACCACCAGCTGATCAATAAAACTGAAAAAGAAAGACATACGTTGGCTGTGTTTATTCACCCGTTTTGGTGTAGATCAAAGTAAGAAAAAAAAAAAAGATTTATTATTGGATCGACAGGAAAACCTGTTTGAAATAACATGGTGTAATTACTTAAAAATATATTATATATATAATGTTACTGCACAAATGTTTACTTCTGCTTCTTGTTAGGGTATGGGATAATAATAACTACTGTTTACAATAACGGGAACAAAAAGATTGACCATAAATATCTTTGAATACAAGTCCTTAAAAACTTTGAAGAACTCAATACCAGAGCACTGAAAAAGCATCTCACCAGCTGTTTTCACAGAAAGCCGAGATGAAATCACTCTGCTGGTGCTCAGGATACAGGAACAGGACGGGCCAGTGCAGTTGGCCGTGCTCATCCTGAAACACCTGAGCCCCCATCAGCTCCTGAGAACTGAGACCGTCCAAGCTCAGCTCTGAAATCGCTCCAGTTGAACTCCTGTCCTTATCCTCGCTGTCGGAACCTCGCTGTCGCCTCTGAGAAGCTTTGAGTAACTTGATGCCACGATCCTGTGGAAACGATACCAAACAGGTCCTAAATATCAAATATTAAAATATATTTTTGTATGCAATCCCAAGTGGGTCATGTTTTCTGTTGGAATCAAAATGTCATAAAAGTCATCTTGATGTTTATCTGGTAAACAGCCTCTTTCTCCTCATCCTCAAAGTACAACTGGAAAGAGGGAAAAGCAAAAAGACAGGTTTTCAAAATGGTGGTTCATGTTTAAAAACAAGGTCTAACATTTAAGGTTTTGCTCAACACTGTTGTGGTTAGCAGTACTGGGAGTGCTGTGCTACACCTGAGGCTGTAATGGCAGAATATTGATACGGGATTGTGAAATGAAATATCGCAACATTTCAGCGTACTGATAATTTCTTGCACTTCTATTGGTATTTGTACCTGTAAGTTTTGTGGATAATATTTCCTGTCTACATCCCACGGTGGAAGTTCTTCTCCAAACATGACCACCAGCTGATCAATAAAACTGAAAAAGAAAGACATACGTTGGCTGTGTTTATTCACCCGTTTTGGTGTAGATCAAAGTAAGAAAAAAAAAAAAGATTTATTATTGGATCGACAGGAAAACCTGTTTGAAATAACATGGTGTAATTACCTAAAAAATATATTATATATATAATGTTACTGCATAAATAATGTTTATTTCTGCTTCTTGTGAGGGTGTGGGACAATAATAACTACTGTTTACGATAACATGAACCAAAAGATTGATCATCTTTGAAAAAAGTCCTTAAAAACTTTGAAGAACTCAATATCAGAGCACTGAAAAAGCATCTCACCAGCTGTTTTCACAGAAAGCCGAGATGAAATCACTCTGCTGGTGCTCAGGATACAGGAACAGGACGGGCCAGTGCAGTTGGCCGTGCTCATCCTGAAACACCTGAGCCCCCATCAGCTCCTGAGAACTGAGACCGTCCAAGCTCAGCTCTGAAATCGCTCCAGTTGAACTCCTGTCCTTATCCTCGCTGTCGGAACCTCGCTGTCGCCTCTGAGAAGCTTTGAGTAACTTGATGCCACGATCCTGTGGAAACGATACCAAACAGGTCCTAAATATCAAATATTAAAATATATTTTTGTATGCAATCCCAAGTGGGTCATGTTTTCTGTTGGAATCAAAATGTCATAAAAGTCATCTTGATTGCTTTATTATAATTCTCCAAGAGCTTTCCTACCTTTATAGCAGCAAGAAGAACTTCCTTCTCACCATGCAACTTTTTTTCCTTGATCTTGGCTTTTCTAGAATCCCTCTCTGCTGCCCTCTAGTGAACAATAGACAAATAAACTTAGCTTTCTACAGTTTAAATGCTTAACCCACTTTTAACTTTATAAAGCACTTAAAAGAATCGCCGTGCTGTCCAACTTCCAGACCAACTTTGTAAAGCACTTAAAAGAATCGCCGTGCTGTACATAACAAATACAACGTATATAAATAAATAGTTAACATAAGGCATAACATCGACAAATACATTATTATCCAAATTGTAAAAAAAAAAACCAACAACCACAAAACAAGTAATGGGTCTAATGTAAATGGGGGTGGGAGGAGTTAGCTTTTAGGAAGACATTTAAAAACAGACAGAGAAGAGGACGCTCAGAGGCAGATCATTCCATAACCAGACACCAACCGTACCTTGTGTTTGTCTGCAGTGACTCTCAAGTCCTGCAGTTTCTTCTCAGTGGGGTGGGCTTTGAGCCCCTCATCACACCACTTGATGGCGTCTGTGTAGCTGCGTAGCTCTATGCAACACTGAGCACCTGCATTAAATAAAAAAGTTGTGTATTACAACTAAATTACATACAGTATATCACTGCAGCTTTCAAACATATTTTGCACATGCATGACACTAGGTGGCGCTACATACCTCTGATTAGTGCTTTGAGATGTGTCGGTTTAATCTTCTTTGCTGCTGAGGCATCATTAAGAGAAGAACGCATGTTCCCTGCAGGGAATGAATTAAAGACGTCAGCCAGTTCAAGCACAAACATAACTCTTTACAGAATGACAGTTAAGGAAGCAGTAAATACATAAACCGACCGTGCATACAACAAAAACAAGGAAAAAAGATCCGTACCTAGATAATAATGTGATGCTGCACGGTTGGTGAGAAGCACAGTGTTGAGCTCCGGGTCTTCCGTGTACTTCTGCAGGGCTGCTGTGTAGGCCACAACTGCTTTATCGTATTTCTTTTCCTTGAAATAGGCATTGCCTTCGTCTTTCAGACTTTTGGCTTGTTCTGAGGGGAAATGTAACACTTTAGTCAGAATTTAATCTTCATTAACATCTTACTCATTAACCAAATCAGTACATTTGAAGGTAACTGAAACAGTTGTCATCAGAAATAACAAAAATAAAAAACAAGATCCTAGCTTTAGCATGGTGAGAGGATGATAAAGGCAGGAAGTCATCATCATCATAACATCTGTTGTGTTGTGTTTTTTTAAGCAGAGAAGACACGTTTTATTTACTAAACAAATGCTTTTGCAAACTATAATATACAACATACCGTATATAACATATATTTAGTCATGGATATATTAGCCACTACCTATTCCCGTACTTTCTTTCTGGATATAATATCTATTTATACATGCTGTAACCACCATCTCATTTCAGTCATCAAAGTCAAGAGATAAACACATCTGTTTTAGCATTAAAGTCCACTTGGATGAAATATATAAACAGTATATTAGGAGTAATAAAGCATCAACCCACTTACCTTCTGGAGACCTGTCTTCATCGTGGATGATGGCCTGGATGCAGCCTAGTTCAGGGTATTCACGTGGGTCGAATTCTTCAGGGGCAGTTTTCATGAACATTGGTATTTTATCGAACTCCTGGACGACACAAGAGTTGTTATTATTATAACAGATTTTCATGTTAACAGACATTCCTAGCCCGTTATGTAACTTTACAAAGATTTACAAAGACAAACAGATTTTCATGTTAACAGACATTCCTTTTCCTCACCTGTTCCCATGTGTCCTTGTTGAATGCACCCGTGTATCCACCAGTTTTGAAGTTGTTCATAAATTCATCCATGCTGTCATCGCTGTCAGACTCTGCCGGTACGGCCGCCATTTTAGTACTTTAGGTTGTTTCTTTCCCCCCGATACAAAGACAATTAAGCCCAGATTATTATTTCAAACACACAATATCCACTTATAAACGGATTGAAAAACCAGGTCCCTGTTTACTTCACGGACTTCGGAAAAACCCGCACATGCGTCCTACTTCGGTACGACACTAATAACAATCCGTAGAGACGCACGGTCCTACGTCCACAATGTTCCGCTTGGTGCTAGACAGCCAACAACGAAAACTTATTTCAGAATTGTTGCTTTGGATTGTTTGATTAAAACATAAAATTTACCACAGACGTACTGGTCTATCTCTCCGAAGGCGAACTTATTGGATTACTTCGTTTTTCTTTTTCATACATGCTGTACTGTAATAAGAATTGAGGCCTTCCATGTCTTCTCCTACTCCTGCTCAGATGAAACTGCTGGATGGTCATTGGTCATTTTCTGCCATAATGTTCCCTCACTTTAGGTTGGTCAATTCTACAATAGAAATGTCAAGTTACAATAACACAACACATTTTGAGCTCACACATTTATTGTGCAATCACAGAGCAGTAAAATGACAACATTCTTACATGAAGATACACGGTTTTGTCTCACTATCATGTTTTAAAACTCCTCACAGGCGCATCCTGTGACTGGAGGATTTTCAAGACCACATGTTCTTGATGTTTTTGTCCCTAGTAGAACTCTGTGACCTGACTGAAAACTGCTGGATTTCTCATGCAGAAATTATAGTAACCATATAAGATTTTTTTTTAATTTCACCACCTTCTTTACATGGGATTGTACAAATGTTGCTTAAAATAGAAGAGAACAGATTCACCTTATTGTCATTGTACATATGCAATTGTGTCCCATTTAACCCATCAACCCATTCTTGGTGAGCAATGCTGGGATTCAAATCTGGGATCCTGTGATAACAAGTCCAATCCAACCCACATAACCCAGACAAAATTAACAAAAAAGATCTCAGTTCCAAGTGAGGTGATTCATATAGTTTCCACTTTTGTCAGCAGATCTAACAGTGCTTCTTTACTCAGAAACATTTTCTCATCTGTGTGTTGACAGATGACCTCAAACCTTGGTGTGTCCTCCAGAGCTCCCTGCCCTACCACAACAACATATGGGTAACCCAGTATTTTGGCATCCTTTAGCCTCTTTCCAATGGTCATCTGCGTACGGTCATCAACTACCACTTCGCCTCTCAAACAGGGCAGAGCCTCCCCCAATAAGTGAACCAGGTCGTCAGCTAAGAGTGTAACCTCATCCACTTTACTTCCCTTCTTTGGAGGCAGAACACAAACCTGATAAGGGGCTATAAGGCCTGGCCAGCGGATTCCCTCCTCTGTTGATAGAACCTCGATGGCTGCAGCAAGTATACGTGTCACTCCAAGGCCGTAGCAGCCCATCTCAGTAACACACGACCGGTTCTGAGCATTGCTAAAGGAGGCATTGAATATCTGAGAGTATTTTTTACCCAGGTAAAAAGTGTGGCCGACCTCAATTCCTTTTGACTCTGACAGTGTGCCAGTTTTACACTGTGGACAGCTCTTATCATCTGATGACAGGGTTTCTACATTGGCAGAGAAGGAGCAGTTTCCACACACGAGGAGATTGTCCTCACCAATGTCTGCAGGCAGCTGGAACTCATGGGAGAGCTTACCACCTATCATTCCTGTGTCTGCCTGCACCTGAACACAATGCAGGCCCAAGCGAGCGAAAAGCCGAGTGTAAGCATGGCACACAGATTCGTAGGTTCGATGAGCTGCTTCTTCAGAGACGTCAAATGAATACATGTCCTTCATGTAGAACTCTCTGCCTCGAAGAAGACCAAACCTCGGTTTAGGCTCATCCCTGAATTTGCGTGTAATCTATGAAACAAAACAAGTCACGGTGTAAAAATAAGACTTACTGCATCAAGGGTCATGTGATGCTTAAAATGTCACCTGATACAGAAGCAAAGGTAGCTGTTTGTAGGACAGAGTCGTCTGGTGAGCGACCAGAGTTGTCACCGCTTCCTCATGCGTTGGGCCCAAACAATAATCTCCATCATGGCGGTCTTTCAGACGGAACAGCTCCTTTCCCATCAAGTCCCAACGCTCGCTGGTTTTCCAGAGGTTTGCAGAACACAAACTGGGCATGTCCAACTTCTGCCCACCGATCTGCTGCATCTCCTCGTCAATCACTCTCACCTGTTATTTAGAGACAGCCGATTTCAACATTTTTGGGGGAAAAAAAAACAACAAATATATGACCTATTAAAGATTGAATTTCTAGCACAAAATGAAGTAAGATGTTGAACGAGGTAACAACAGAACCAAAACAGAATGAACAAATGTGAGTCCATGGGTCTTTGTGTGCATTTACTTACACACTATGAGGCACTGGAAACCAGTGTGTACTCTGACTGACTCCTACTGATTCTTTTACCTAACATCAGCTGGAATTGGCTTCAGCTCTTGTTTTGACCCTGTACAGGCTCAGCAGTTAAAATAAAAATAAAATTGTATAAATATATATATCTTTTTATTCTGACTAATAGTACACGTCTTCATGTCACATTCTGACACTTCTATAGATTATATGAAAGACTGGTATGTTGCTCATCATTGGGTAAAAACAATGAAAATTACTATTGGCTTAAACAGTGGTTCCCAGGCTCACCAACTTCTCCATGGAGCGTACTGTAGCAGGGAGGTAGTAGTAACATCCTGGGTTGGATGGATGGATGAGTCCGGCCTTCTGCATTAGCCGCTGGCTCTTACAAGTCATCTCGGCCTGGAGACGGGTTTCCTGTCCAACGTCACGCAGATGTGACGGCTGGTAAAGGCGTGATACCAGGTGTGGGGGCCTGATGCGCCTGGAGGTAGGGGGCTCTAAAACAACACTGTGCTCAGCACAGCCTGAGTGACTCCTCTTTGACAGGATCAGGGCCCGTCGAAGAGGCTGAAACACTTTGGGCCAAACTTGGTGCATGACAGGCTCCATGTTGGGTCCAGATATAGTGCTGAGAAAAGATCAACATTTAAATTGTCATGGAGAAAGTAGCATTATTGTTAAGGGAGGATTCTACTATTCCTTATGGTAACTTTCTAGTTTTGGACATTACAGTTACAGAAACCACAGGAGTGAATGAATTGTACATGTAGAAATATTACCAGGCTGAAGACGGAAGGACAACATGTGGTTTGTGCATTATTGGTGCAATGCATCAATTGTCAGAGCATATTGAACATGTGTTTCCTGCGTAGTCATTTAACACTGCAGTAAATGATGATTAAACTTCATCAAAAACCATGTTTTCCTGGGTTTAAGCTAATTATTTGTGACGCAGGGATGAGGCTTTCGTGGCCGACATGGCACTTGTAATTACAATGACCATGAGCTGATTGATTATGCAAATGATTAATTGTGATATAACTGCAAATATATATAAATGTGTGTGTGTGGTTTTTTTTATTTGCTTTTGTTACATAATATTAGTAGTAGCACAAATGCAAAGGCTGAGTTATTCAACTGGTTTATGAACCTGCGTGGTTGTGACAAAGTCAATCTATGTGAACAGACTATTAGACCATGTAAATGAACTTATATTTTACTAACAATATGATAATAAGTAATATTCAACAGCAGAACAGTTCTTTAAATGTAAAAGTCAAACGTAGTCATTGTCAAGCTACAAAACCTCGTAAACCTTTTCGGTCGTTTACTTGTCATGAGGATAGTACAACAAATAGATTCACTTCAATTTATAGTACACACATTTCTGATACAAAGTAACGCACCAAAACACAACAGAAGTGTTATAAACACCATTGATATTAGAATAAACAGTGAATACAACAGTTAAACATGTTATATAAAGGTCATAACTCCCTGCTGTCAGGAAAGTCTGTCCAGGTTCACAGTTTAACAACGGTTAGCGTCTTCATTAATACACTTAACGAACTCACCTCAAGACGATGTGGAGTTTTCTGAGGATTATCTCAGTAGAACTGCAGCAGGTGACATGTCTATAAAGTCAACCATCAGAATAAACAACATCGAATGTCCTTCTACTTCCTCCAGCATGCTGCTGCTGCTGCTGCTGCCTGTTAGGCGTGAGGGGAACTGGTTTACCCTTCTTCATAGCGCCATCTGTCCGTCTGGAGGACGCTAGAGTTAGGTCGCGCCATTCAAGAATAAACTTTTTACTTGATGTGTTTTCGTGTTGAAAAGTGAACCGAACATTAGAAACATCTTGGTTAAAGATCGACTGGTTAAAGTGGTAGAAGGAAATGGATGAAAGTATTTACAGCAGACACACAAAGCGCCATATAAATCACAATTTGCAGGAAAACACAAACAAAGTCCTCTAGGCATTTTATAAATGAGTCACACAAACATTGAAATACCAGACTAATGCATGAGTGAAGAATAAAATGCTGCAGTACTATTCTATTGATTGTCAATGTTTGCTTGAGAGACAGATTGTCCAGGTTGGAGACAGAGATGGAGAAGTGATGTCTATCAGTACAACAATATCAGGATGAGCTCAACCACAAAAGGAGGGCGGCATGTATTTCTGTTTATTTGAAGCATGTTGAAGGTAAAGTTTACTTTGATATATCAAGATAAATATTTTCTGGCTCCATCCAACATTATGTCAGGGTCAAACGTTGAGCTGTATTAAAGTTTATTTGATTAAAATTAACAATTTTAAAAGCACAGTAAACTTTAATTTATTAACCGAATTATATTTATATTTCCTATGTTTATTTCTTTGGTTCTAAGCAAAATTCTAAACTTCTCTTACATAAGTTTGACATGTACGTGCACGTACGAGTCCAAACACATCAGTGGTTTGCTTTGGCTTTATCACTGTTGTGCCACGTATTTGAGAAGCTGTTTTGGTGAAAATCAATAACTTTTTACTGATGACACTGGACTGTGCCACATTAGCCTCGTCTTGTTGACACTCTGACACATATGAACGCACTCGCCTGGCTTTACAGCAGGTTACGCCCTCACCTTTATACCATTATAACTCCTACCCAGTCAATGACAGATAAATGACGGGCAGCTGGCAAACACGGATGAGCTGCTCTGTGGACCCTCAGGTGGACACGGTGGGGGACGGTGCGCAGTCGGCAGCTTTTAGACCAAAGATGGTTGTTTATGTTCCTCTCAGCCTATTAGGTTTGTGACCCATCATCCACTTATCTCGTCGTAAGATACAGTTCTTGGCGAACACAGCGTCTGAATGTCTCCCTGAGATACAAACAATGTCATTAGAAGAGATTTTTATCACCATCACCACATCTGTCTTCTTGACGTTGTATTGAACAGTAGACCCACTTCCGACCACTCACTTCTGGAGGGGTCGTCATATTAGATCATTCACATTCGGGCTGTGACCACGCCTAGGCTATAAAAAAATACAACTCAATGTGGACTGGATAATAAATAAGAAGTTAGAAAGAATATATATATAATTCTTCTTCTTTTCTTCTTTTTATTTCGACTTTGTCCCTTTTTTCAATATTTTCAATACAATATTGTAAGTTGGGGCCAAATTATGACTTTTACGTTAAAGCAGCAATATTTGACATCTGGGTGGGTGTGTGCTAATAGATGACACTTATTCCACGTCACACTTGTTCTTGTCACTCATTCTATGTCACCTTGTCCACTTTAAGTCTGAGGGTCAGTAATCAGAGTGACATCATTATTGTAGAGTAAGTTGTTTCTCTGATTACTGTTGGTTAGGGTAACATCAACTCTAAAAAACAGTAGCTGTTTTTGCTCATAACTGCCATAACAGTCTTTGAGCTACGTTTGAGCTATTCCTAGGCTAACCTGGTTATTTCTAGGTCAAATTTAAGATATCTTTAGGCACAGCTAACATGCTAAGACTTTTTTGCAATGTTGGTTTGAGCTAAAATTAAGCTTTTAATTTCATATTTTATATTTAGCCATCTTTTGGTTACTGTAAATATCACACTTTGCAGTATTGACAAACTTAAAGGGCTAATTCAGTTAAATATCACACGTTGGAGTATTGACAAACTTAAAGGGCTAATTCATTTCAAGGGCACTTTAGCTCCTACTAATTTCTGACCCATTTCTCAATTTTACCAATTACAACAAATGCGTATGTCACAGAATACATTTGGTTATACATCAGGTTACCAAAACACTGTCATGGACAGACATCCGGACGAGGGATTCTCCATTGTTAATGATTGAACCCAAATGTTGTGCTGAGTCTCCCATCACATCATCAACATGTTGGTAATCACCTGCATTAGGCACGGTCAATATTGACTTTTTAGCTGTCATACGACCGTAACTGCCGTAAAGTGAGAGTCAAGCAGGCTTTTGAAGAGTTGTAAACATCCAGACATCTGTCTGACACAGGTGGAATCACTTAGCATTAGCTAATTAGCTGTGAGGCTCAGGGAAGGTCAATGCAATCATGGGCAGAAATCACATAATGAGGAGGTTTCTCCTCATTATGTGATTGTTATTGTAGGACTGTAAAGACCCGAGGGCCTTTCCTCACTCTTTGACAGCCAAAAATGGTCATAGTGGGGAAGACCGGAAACCAAAAATAACTTAGCCTCTTCTCTTCACTGCTATTTATCATGTTGTCGCTTACCTAGCTAGGTTTGGCTAGTATTTGCCATTTTTTTAAATCTAATTTTGCCAACACTCATTTTCTCTATTTTTAACCTTCAGTTTATATCAACCCTTTTCTAACATTTTTTTGTTATTTTTATCTAATGTTTAACCCAATTTGTACACCTATTTGGTCATTGTTATTGTTTCTTTTCTATGAATTTGGCACTCCCAAATTTGCTTTTTTACCAAAAAAGTTTTTATTTCTAACTAAATTATCTTTTTTCAAGCTTTTTTTTTACTTATTATGCCTTTTTTTACTGTATTTGTATATATTATTGTGTATTATTTTATATTTTTATTCATTCATTCATGAGCCATTATACATTTTATAAGGAACACAAAAAAAATCCAGTCTTTAAAACATCAAGGATGAAGGAGCCCATGGTTCAATGAAGCTGGTCTCTGATTGTTGTAGTTAAATGATGACTCAAGACTTGACATATAACCACTCAAAGAATGGAAACTAGTGTGTGCGTGTGTGTGTGCACATGCATTGGAGTAGGGAGAGAGAGAGAGAGAGAGAGAGAGAGAGGGAGAAAAAAGAGTGATAGGCTGATCTCAGCCAGTGGGAGGGGGAGAGATATTTAACACTGACGAACTGTATATGTAGAACATATATATAAAACCGGGGGACACAAGCACCAGCTCAATGACTGCCTCACTGGTCCTCAGCCTCCAGTAGACCTTAACCAGACAGGAAAAGAGTTGAGGGAGAAACTCCGAGCAGATCAGTGTCCGACAGTCCGTCGATTAGCAGAGCAGACACGAAAACTCAGGGAAAGAAACATGAGAGCTCTAGTGTTTGTGCCTTTGCTCCTGTGTGCAGTGATGTCCGTGGACCAGGTCGGAGCAGAGGTGAAGGCAGTGAAGCTGTGTGGCCGAGAGTTCCTCAGGGCCGTGGTGTACACCTGCGGAGGCTCCCGCTGGAGGAGATTCCTGACAGAGTCCGACATGGATGGTAGGAAAACTATTTTTCTAACCACATTGTTATATAAGTTGTTTTTTTTATAATGTTTATACTCTGACACAATATAATAAATATTTAATAAAATATGCATATTACAAATGTATATTAGGATATATTTGGTTAAAGTGAGCCTAGGATTGAATTTGTAATAAAGGGTTAATATGTCTGACTATTGTTTATAAATATTTAAGTTTTACAAATTTGTAAAATTCAACTAAAACTCACTGGATCTTGAAGTGGATGGAAAGTGTTGGTTGGTCTGAGACCTCAGACCTGAACTGAGGTCCCAGGTCAAGGGCACACACACATGTGCCGACCCATAATGCATCTGTAAAGTTGCCATTATTCACACAGAGCCAATAATTATCCCACAGTTTGTCACATGAGCAGCTTCAAAGTGAAAGAGTTGGAGCGAAGAGGCATTTGTCTACAGAGTCTACATATGAAGTACATGTTCCACACACACACATGTGCCACTGCCTGCACAGGGCTGCAGTGGGTGTGCAGACAGGTGCCACAGTGTCCTCGGTCATCAGCAGATCAGTCCTTACACCGAGCGGCATCTCCGTCCGTCACAGGCTGCGGGGAAACAAACCCAGTTAGCCTATCAGTGGTGCTTATTAGAAGGCTAAAGTGACACTGTTGAAGACAGATCGTGCTGTGCTCATCAGCACGATCATTAGGGATTTCCTCATTTGATGAGAACATGGTTATGGAACCAGGACTGGAGGTCTGACAGCAGCTGTTCCTGCGCTGTATGTAGGACACAACGGTCACAGAAGACGACACTGTGTGCATACTCCATCTACAGATACTGTACTGGGCAGCTGCGCTTTCCTCTTTTCTACAGCATTTTCCATATATTTTAAACAGCAGAACTAGAAATGTACGTGCTAACGTTAAATATTTTGGGCTGTACCAGACAATTTGTGAATAATCTACTATTAAATATAAAAGTATAAATTCAAATGTGGTTGGTAGCGCAGTGTCTGAGGGCCGAGGTCGGGTAGGGTCACTTCCCTGGGACCAGGAATTGAACCCTCCACCTCTTTATCTGTGGTTGGACATGCCCCATGTTCAGTCAGCACCCTGCACATTTAACTCAAAGCCTGTGCTTTCTGCAGTTTAACAGCTGAGAATGGGTCACCAGTGCTTTACATTAGCTTTAAATTGTTGAAAAAAATAAAATCTCAGCAGCCGGGGGAGTTGGAGGGTTTAGTAAATACACACGTCGGCCTAAAATCGAATAACTGTATGTAAAACTACATTAAAGTGTCAGAGAAAAATGACTGTGGAGAAATGTTTGATGAGTTTTTCCACATGTTCCAGCCCCCACAGCAGTGGAGCACAGCAGTTTGGAAAGTCTCAGCAGCAGCAGCAGCAGCAGCAGTGGCAGGCGCAGCAGGAGCAGCAGCCGCCGCCCCCGCCCC